GCGTCAGGCTTACAGTAGATACTTCAAAAGGCTCTAGCAAAGTGCGCCCATCACTGATCAGCCAGGGTCATCTAGACAGCCGACGGGAGACGACGAGCATGAGCATATGAACATCGATGGTGGACCACCTCCACCCGTTTGGACACCGACCCCGATTCCACAGCCAGAAGTTCCTCCACAGCAGCCACCGGGATGGTGGACCGCATTTCAGACGCAGTATACAGCTGACATCCGCTCTATCCATGATCGCTTTGATGCCAGGACACCAGATTGGCCGGTTTCGAGAGTCGGCAGCACACACAGTGGGCCGGCTGGGAGACCCAGCAGAAGACTCAGTGGGATCATTGGGACACCCAGCAGCAGATCCACTGAACTCATATGGGCACGCAGTTTGACAGTTTCACCGAGGGTCTCCGGTCTATTCGCGAGCGGCAGGACCAGCAGGATGCTAGATTGGACAGCTGGGATCAGCGATTCATCCAGTGGGACACCCGCTGGGGCTCGGGGACCAGTCAGCCTTTCCCACCACCATCTCCATCGGACGCACAGTGACTTGTCACTGTGATTAGTATGTTTTCTGTTCCCTTTTCTCTTTCATTTTTTGTATAGTTTATTGTTTTTCGTGTCGGTTGATTATATGGTTTACTCTCTTTCACTTCAAATCGACAATGGGGACATTGTCTGATTTTAAGTATGGGGGAGTTTTACGTGCTTGCGTGGCTATGTGATAAACTATGTATAGTTTTACTTTTTTAGGGTTGTCTTTATTTTCTGTTGCGTGGACCAGTCTAGTTTAGGTTTATTTGTTCTTTTGAGATGGACATTGGTGAATTTCGAGATTGGTTTATGGTTGTTTAATGATGTTGGGAAGTTGTGATGATGGTCTTGAGTGGCATATTTTGATTTGTGGCTCGATTGCTTTGATTAACACTCATATATATACACCCGGTGAGGTTTGAGCCATATTCATTTCTTATGAGATATTGGTCTGAATGTTGGGTAAATCAGAACTTGCCTTGAGTCTGCTGCGAAATAAGTTGATTGGATTTGTGATAGGTGAATATGATTAAGACATTCTTTGCTATTTGTGTATCTTTTTTCTTCTTTCGAGAATAATTTTCGCTAGTCACCCCTTTGAGCCTTACTTCTTATTCTCGTTGTTGACCCTGTGTTGATAATGTTTGGAAAGTGGATGGTGACGATTGTCGAAGTTGTATATATAAAATAAATAAATAAATAAATAAATAAAAATAAAAATAAAACCTAATGGATTATACACTAAGTGCTTCAACCGTTCAATTACCGGTCACGAGCAATGAGTACGGAAAACCAGTCTAGGAGACTCGGGCAGAAAACCCGATGGCTAAACCTAGATAAGATGTCCATAAGGTTTCAAAAAAAAAAAGAGAATGATAATAATGTGGAAGCGTGTTAGCTTTGGTGAAGGTTGGAGAACCGGTTGAAACCGGAGGTGTTGCTGATTATGGTTGAAGTGTTGAGTTGTGATATATTCTATTTTGAGCCATTTGAGCTATATTTATCTTACCCGACCCATTAAGCCTACATTACACCCACAAAAGTCCTTTTGATTCACTGTCTCATTGATTTGATTGATTTAGAGTAGGGGTTAGACGATAGACAAGCGTATGATCGATTTGACTGACGACCAATTTTAATGCTCCTGTCTTTTATTTTTGCATGAAAATGAGTGAGGCATTTATATCATATCTCCGTACTAGAGAGTTTGTGTTATCATGTGATTGAGTTCATTGTCATGGTGTGTTCTCGAGATCATTGGAATTCTTTTCAACTTAGTTGATCAATCTGAGACTTTTCTCGTTTGAAACCAGTGTCCACTCTCTTTTGCTTGTTTTGATGCTTTTTCTTTTCTTTTTATTGTTCGGGACGAACAATGGTTTTAGTGTGGGGGAGTTGTTCGTTCTATTTTTGTTAGTGTTTTCGTGTCTATTTTATGTTTATTTTTCCCCCTTCTAGGTATTTCTTTTTGGCTTTTGGTCCATTTTGAGGCTCGTCTTGCATTTCCTTTGTTTTTTTTCGTTTTTGGTCTTTTTGTTTCTTTTCTCCAGTTTTCCGTGCGTTTCTTGTCGGTGGTGATGTGTAGGATGAGTTGCTCGATGAATGACCATGCGTGGACTACTATATAGATGGATGAGTTGGGGTCGAGTAGGAAAAGAAGAAATTCGATTCCGTATCCGAATGCGTGCGTACGAGGCCGAAAACCGTCACCTTGCCAGAAAATAGCCTTCACCGCGGCCCGCGACTATGCTCCCGAGGCCGCGGAGAACAAAATTTGCACTGCCCAGTTTTAGTCGCCGCGGCCCGCGACGGTTCCTTCACCGCGGCCGCGGCGAACAAAAAGTCGCAGACGAGCAGTACTTCAGAGCAGGCTTTCCCGCGGCCTCGGGGGTTGGTCGCGGCCGCGGAGCTTCTTCGCCGCGGCCCGCGGAGGCCGCGACGTGCAGAAAAATAAAGGGCAGATTTTAGATTCGTTTTCATTATGTTCTAAGCTAGGTTTTGGTTCTTTTGGTACGAAAAAAACTTCTAGAACTCATATTTTCTCACTTGTTCTCTTGGGGGATCAATCTTGAAGGTGGAAACTTAGAGATTTGACTCTTGGATTTGGTTGTTCTTGATTTCGACATTGGATTCGTTAATTGTAAGCTTTACTTTCGTTTTTTTTTTATTGAGATGGCTTTGATTATTGAATATGTTGATGTTGAATGCACAATGAGTAGCTAGATTCATTAGCTAGGGGAAGGGAATTATCTATCCGGTTCAATTTCGTTTAAAAGCTTGATAATTGCTCATCTTTCCGAGTTGTGCTTAACCTAGGGTTTAGATGCTTGATCACCATCTTAATCTAATTAATCGATTTTGAAATCAAAAGGGGATAAACCGTTTGATCTAGGCTCGTAAAGAATAGGCTTGTTCGGTAACGTATTGTCTATGTGCTAATTGATTCGATAATGATTTGTTTATGTTTATTCTCTTGTTTCGTGAGATATTGAGAATGAATCTCTAGATAAGTTCGTTTATCGAGTCATTTAGTCGAGTAATTGATTGCTCGTTAAATGCATTGAGAACTGGAAGCGAAATCTCCGATACCCTAGCCCCTTTAATCATATTTGTTCTTTGTCCTTGCTTGCTAATTTTCCCGCTTTATTTAATTATTTGAAGTAGTTGATAATTCAAAACACATCCAATTATTTGAATTAGAATGTGTAGAAATTTTATTTCTTTTATTTCTTTCAATTGTGTTTGAATAAACGTGCTTAATAATCCGGCTAACCTACCTTGCGATACGACCCGGTGTTTGAGTCTCTCGATTCTGCTCCGGTAAAAATACATACAACATTATACAATAAAAAAATATAAATTTTAGTCAAATATAAAATGTAACGATATTTGTTTTAATTGCTAGAATTAGTTTTTGGAAAATTAGGTATATGTTATGAAATACGGGAAAT